AGTGCTAAACTTTCTAAAACCATTATGTATCATCTGAAATTAAAATGATGCGAGGTTTAATGTTGTTCAGAAGATGGTATTCTAAAGCCTTGGATCTAACTTTGGGAAAACTATTTGTAATAATACTTCATAAAGTGAGAATTTATCTCATGTATACCATAAGTTTTAACAAGTCACAAGCCAAAACACCACCACAAAGTAACTATGCATCTCATGCTAACACTTGCAAAGGATTTAAACAATTGGGAAAGCATCCAAACATAGCATTTATACAGAACTGGAAATAAATCCGCGCTATTCAAATAAACTGTACACTCTCGTTCAGACAAATTTTCACAGAATAAAGATACGACAGTATCCACCAGATACAATGACGACAAGAAAATAATATATAACATTTCGGAAATATATGCAACTGGAAGCAGAATTCCTTTGTCCTCTATACTCAAAGCTGAAGCAAGCCCAAGTGGTCAAAACTTGTAGAAACCAAAATTGAGAACAGACACGGCCATAAGCTTATGTGTATGATAAAGATCCGGTAATAGAAAACAAAATGCCAGCAAATGGGGAACAACAACAAAACATCTTACCAACAAGAGAGGAATGTACATCACTTCTTCAAAAGCTTATGGGAGAAAATCCTCTTGGAATATGGACTGTTGCGCGCCATTGCCTTGTGGGACTCGATCGCATCAACCAGTGAATTGTGAAGAGGACCCTGATTTCAAAAGTTAGATCAGAACATTAAGATNCTTCGGTTAAAATGAATCACTCATATTGTTGTTTTCGTCTTACATTTAACACTTAACACACTTTCTATTACATACACACGTTCACACACTCTTTGGGCCATATATCAAACTATTTTGTAATCAAGTCTAATCGATTTCGACCACCATCAAACGTAACTTTACTTTTTTTGTACTATGAACTTAAAATCACGAGATACATTGTTCGAACTCGACTTGAATATTGAATGAACTTAAATTATATATATATATATGATCATATTTGGGTGGTAGGCTTCCAGCTCAGCCAGAACTATCACCTAGTTTCAATGAACCATTATGATACTGTACTAAGAAACTTGAATCCCAAGTACAAGATATACAGTTAGGCAATCTTGAGGCATTCGTGTTGACTCCAACCATGTATTATAGCCTCATAAAATTAGCAAAAAAGTCACCAAACACAACACATTGCACTCGTGACTGCATTTTCACATTGCATTGTGATGCGGCAAAAAGATAAACAACGTACGCCTAACACTTACCCTTCTGTGACTATTAGCTTATCATAATACAACATAAATCTAGCATAATAAAAAACAAATTAATGATAAGTTCTGGTCAACTATCCACTTGTTTAACTAATTATGTCTCNTAATCGAATAGTATTATGTTGTATTTAGATCGTATTATTTTTTGTTTTTAATGATAAGTTCTGGTCAACTATCCACTTGTTTAACTAATTATGTCTCATCTATTTGTTAATCGTGTTATGTTTTGATTCATATGTATTAACCCATGAATTATCCATAGGCATTTCATAAGCTGAAAATTCACTTGGTTGGAATGTTTGTGAAAACAAGTAAAAAAATCTTCTAATTCTAAATAGATTTGTTCAATATACCAAGTCAGAAACTATAAATACTAATGAAAATATATCAAAAATTTTCTTCATACTATACAAGCAAACAAGTTTGACGTGTCAAAATCAAGTTACTAGTGTTTGACACTAACTCGGCCTTTTTTACAATCTAGGGTGGTGAGTCGTATTATTTTTAGCCAAGAATTCAGAAGCCTTAATGCGCTAATTTTGCTATATGAATTTCTTGGCACAAAGATACAAACACAATCCTAACCATTGGTTTATATTGGTTTGTTTATAAACCAATACAACAATTCTTTGATGCATCAAGATGGATACCTCTTCTCGATGGTTAGGTTATCTTGTTGATACCCAATAATCAATGCACAAGGTTCTCACTATTTTTAGGATAAAAAAAAAAGAGAGAGATCGCCACTCCACGCTCTCAATGACTTTATGTTTTATTCAGCTGTATAATGAGTCATTGATCTTGATCACGCATTTTTTAAAATCATTGTTACAACTTAAAAACTTGCTACATGTAATCACATACAAACCCCACACGCTGCGTAAAATAATCCAAAAGAATGACTAAGATTACCTATTTCAATATCAAGCTCACTAAATATAAAGATTGTCTCTGTGATGCCCGTTACAGTCTGCTACACCAATCATAGCCGTTATATGTGAGAAAAAAAATTTCTCACCGTTAAATCAAGATGTAACAGTATCGAATTACCACCGATACCCTTCCATAATGGCTATTACAATCTGTAATGGGCGATTTTCAAAACTATGACATTACCCTTTGGAAGGTGGTTTCGTCGCAAGGCAGGATAATGCCTTTCTGGCTAGGATAGCCATACTCTTCTGCAGCCCTCTCTAACAATTGCTGGAAAGAGGGATTCCTCAAATAAGATGTTGGAACAAAATATCTCCTCAATTCTTCTCCTACATAGACCACAAAATGGCCCTTTGGAGCTCTTTTCCACCCTTCCATTGCTTGTATTTTAGCCATTTTTTCTAAACTTTTTGAGACGCAGTTTGAAAGATTTAATGTAGAAATATATGAGACTGAAGCATATGTGCCTTGAAGGGTTTCATGATCTATATATAGAAGATGGAAAGTTTATATTTTGCTAGCAGGAATGATAGCAGTAGCTAACTGAAAATAGCTAGAACACCTAAAGCTTTTTGACTTCTGTGCATGTGTGTAAGAGTGTGTGTGTGTGTGTGAGAGAGAGAGAGAGAAGTTGGATTGCACATGGCATGGTGAGTGTTTGTTTTTTAGACTTGACTTTCTATCCCACTCATCACGGGTGCATGAATTTAGAATGAGAATCACATGTTGAAATTAGGAAAATAAGGACACATTCAAATTACTAATAGGGTTAATAACACTCTTGATTATTAAATTATATATTTTTTGTTAATTTAGTTCTTATTGTATCAATTTTGTCAATTTGGTCCCTAAAATATTCAATTCGTGTTATTTTAGTCCTTATATAGACAAACCGTTAAATTTTTTACAAAATAATCACGTGTTTAAAGTGTGATACCGTCTAAAAAAATGACATGTGATTACTTTAGTCAAAAATTTTGATAAATTGTCTAATTAGAGACCAGAGTGACACAGATTGAATATTTGAGGGACTAAATTGATAAAATTGATACAATGAGAACTAAACTAACAAAAAATACATATTCTACGGACTAAAAATGTTATTAATCTTTACTAATATCACTTCTACTTCTATGGCAAACAGTATTCCCCCCACCCCTTACCCAAACCCCAAACAAGTCCCCATTGTGGCTTAGTGGTACTCTAGCCCCTATAGATGAGCCCCCCTAAGGGTGGGGTTGGGTGTCATGGGGAGTGGATAGGTTGAGAAACGCTATAAAAACAAGTTTCGTTGATGGAGAATAATCCCAACCATATTTCTTTTAAACTTATCATTACATGTTAAATTCTATTGCGTGCACTTAACTCCCAAGTCCCCCATTATCGTGCTAATCAAGACTCTCTTACAAGAGTCAAACTTTAAAACACAGTGAACTAACAATTATTAGTTATATTTATTTTTTTCAGATGTGTCATTTGAAACGTTCAATGAACAACAAATTCTTTTAACGTCAACCTAACAATGTCCTACAAACCATGTATATCGGGCAACCAACGCTCTTCTCCGAGTGCAAGACTCGAAATGCCGACAAGCGAACAATTTATTATTTCATTCATTTTTTTTAGACGTGCTTTGTTTTGACTCTCGTGAATGAACAAATCGGTTTGGTGCCAACCTTGAAATGACCTAACTTGCACTATTAATGCATTCTGTATGAGTGAAAGATACACCCTTTCGTGGGCTACCTTCTTTATGTGCAAAAACAGTGGAATTTTGGTTGCTTGTACGAGTACAATTTCTCTAATTCCCACAAGCAATGTTTGCAGTTAGGAAGCTATAAGTTCATGGCCTGTTTACTCTAAGATGTCTTTAATGGTAAATAGATGAAAGGTTAACCTCACCATCAACGACCAAAAATTCATTTCAATGAATTGTTTCAATTACCTAAGAAACGTAAATATTTCGACGTGTTTCACAAGCGATTCGACCCGTTTTGAAAATAGAATGAAAAAGATAAAAAAAATTTAAAAATTATTTTTTCAAAACATTAGTTGAAATATGTCAAAGTATTTTGAAATACTTTAAAGCATTCTGAAACAATTGTGCAAATCTATTAAAATATTACAAAATATTTCGAAACATTATGAAACACTTTGAAATAGTAGAATTTTGATTCCATCATCACTGATTCGCTTCGCTCTTCTTAGAATTTCGATTCCATCATCATTGATTCATTTTGATCCTTGCTCACCATCAAGATATTGTGCGCTTCAATCATAGGTTAATGGGTTTAAATCGTCTCTTAATGGTTAAGGCAAGATTATTGCGTAAATTTAACATGTCGGCACTAGTTCGGTATATCATGTGGCCTGTTTCCCTTAACAAAACAGCCAAATATCAAAACCCAAAAAGACATACAACACCCATTCTTTATGCAATTATTCTCTATTATTTGTTGGTTTATTTTGTGGAAAAGCATAAAAATGAAGTCATGCTACTCGAATTCAGATCAGATTCAACTCAAACTCGGCTCATTTTGTATAATTTGTTTGGCTTATTTAAAAAAATAAACTTAAAAGGCTCAANGATGTAACAGTATCGAATTACCACCGATACCCTTCCATAATGGCTATTACAATCTGTAATGGGCGATTTTCAAAACTATGACATTACCCTTTGGAAGGTGGTTTCGTCGCAAGGCAGGATAATGCCTTTCTGGCTAGGATAGCCATACTCTTCTGCAGCCCTCTCTAACAATTGCTGGAAAGAGGGATTCCTCAAATAAGATGTTGGAACAAAATATCTCCTCAATTCTTCTCCTACATAGACCACAAAATGGCCCTTTGGAGCTCTTTTCCACCCTTCCATTGCTTGTATTTTAGCCATTTTTTCTAAACTTTTTGAGACGCAGTTTGAAAGATTTAATGTAGAAATATATGAGACTGAAGCATATGTGCCTTGAAGGGTTTCATGATCTATATATAGAAGATGGAAAGTTTATATTTTGCTAGCAGGAATGATAGCAGTAGCTAACTGAAAATAGCTAGAACACCTAAAGCTTTTTGACTTCTGTGCATGTGTGTAAGAGTGTGTGTGTGTGTGTGAGAGAGAGAGAGAGAAGTTGGATTGCACATGGCATGGTGAGTGTTTGTTTTTTAGACTTGACTTTCTATCCCACTCATCACGGGTGCATGAATTTAGAATGAGAATCACATGTTGAAATTAGGAAAATAAGGACACATTCAAATTACTAATAGGGTTAATAACACTCTTGATTATTAAATTATATATTTTTTGTTAATTTAGTTCTTATTGTATCAATTTTGTCAATTTGGTCCCTAAAATATTCAATTCGTGTTATTTTAGTCCTTATATAGACAAACCGTTAAATTTTTTACAAAATAATCACGTGTTTAAAGTGTGATACCGTCTAAAAAAATGACATGTGATTATTTTAGTCAAAAATTTTGATAAATTGTCTAATTAGAGACCAGAGTGACACAGATTGAATATTTGAGGGACCAAATTGATAAAATTAATACAATGAGAACTAAACTAACAAAAAATACATATTCTACGGACTAAAAATGTTATTAATCTTTACTAATATCACTTCTACTTCTATGGCAAACAGTATTCCCCCCACCCCTTACCCAAACCCCAAACAAGTCCCCATTGTGGCTTAGTGGTACTCTAGCCCCTATAGATGAGCCCCCCTAAGGGTGGGGTTGGGTGTCATGGGGAGTGGATAGGTTGAGAAACGCTATAAAAACAAGTTTCGTTGATGGAGAATAATCCCAACCATATTTCTTTTAAACTTATCATTACATGTTAAATTCTATTGTGTGCACTTAACTCCCAAGTCCCCCATTATTGTGCTAATCAAGACTCTCTTACAAGAGTCAAACTTTAAAACACAGTGAACCAACAATTATTAGTTATATTTATTTTTTTCAGATGTGTCATTTGAAACGCTCAATGAACAACAAATTCTTTTAACGTCAACCTAACAATGTCCTACAAACCATGTATATCGGGCAACCAACGCTCTTCTCCGAGTGCAAGACTCGAAATGCCGACAAGCGAACAATTTATTATTTCATTCATTTTTTTTAGACGTGCTTTGTTTTGACTCTCGTGAATGAACAAATCGGTTTGGTGCCAACCTTGAAATGACCTAACTTGCACTATTAATGCATTCTGTATGAGTGAAAGATACACCCTTTCGTGGGCTACCTTCTTTATGTGCAAAAACAGTGGAATTTTGGTTGCTTGTACGAGTACAATTTCTCTAATTCCCACAAGCAATGTTTGCAGTTAGGAAGCTATAAGTTCATGGCCTGTTTACTCTAAGATGTCTTTAATGGTAAATAGATGAAAGGTTAACCTCACCATCAACGACCAAAAATTCATTTCAATGAATTGTTTCAATTACCTAAGAAACGTAAATATTTCGACGTGTTTCACAAGCGATTCGACCCGTTTTGAAAATAGAATGAAAAAGATAAAAAAAATTTAAAAATTATTTTTTCAAAACATTAGTTGAAATATGTCAAAGTATTTTGAAATACTTTAAAGCATTCTGAAACAATTGTGCAAATCTATTAAAATATTACAAAATATTTCGAAACATTATGAAACACTTTGAAATAGTAGAATTTTGATTCCATCATCACTGATTCGCTTCGCTCTTCTTAGAATTTCGATTCCATCATCATTGATTCATTTTGATCCTTGCTCACCATCAAGATATTGTGCGCTTCAATCATAAGTTAATGGGTTTAAATCGTCTCTTAATGGTTAAGGCAAGATTATTGCGTAAATTTAACATGTCGGCACTAGTTCGGTATATCATGTGGCCTGTTTCCCTTAACAAAACAGCCAAATATCAAAACCCAAAAAGACATACAACACCCATTCTTTATGCAATTATTCTCTATTATTTGTTGGTTTATTTTGTGGAAAAGCATAAAAATGAAGTCATGCTACTCGAATTCAGATCAGATTCAACTCAAGCTCGGCTCATTTTGTATAATTTGTTTGGCTTATTTAAAAAAATAAACTTAAAAGCCTCGACTAGAACTTATAAAATCAACTCGTTTATCAGCTCAAACTATTGGAGCTTCTAGCCGTGTAAAATTTAATGCTTGTGGTGGATAGATATTACTTGGAACGTGGAATAAAAAAAGTCGTACTTAATATATAAAACTATTGTCTATATCAGTATCTAGAAGGTTAACGATAGACGATAGACAATTTTAACCCTGGTTTGGAGAGGTTGATTTTGTACTCAAACCCGCAATGTTGCACTTGAAACATAGTAGCATGCAACAAAAAGAAAAACCAAATAACTAAAGACAACAGTTTAACCTAATCAACAAAATAATTTTTTTTT